CTCCTGCAGCTGTGCCTGGCGCAGATCGGTGAGTGCCCCGGGCAGCGGGAGGGCGCGGCAGGGGGTCAGGGCTGACCCGCGGCGCGCGGCCGGGTTGGCCCCGGGCACCGGAACCCGGCGAGAGCGCGCGACTTGGATTTGGGGAAGGAGAGCGAGGATTTGCGCTAAGCTGCTGGAGAGTTTGTTGGTAGAAGGACCGTTCTGTGGAAAGGAAACGAGAAAGAGACAGGAAAGTTTGCTGGGCAGGCTGCTGGCGTGCAGTTGTGGGCGAGGTCGCGGGAGCCGGAGCCCAGGGCGGAAAGTAACTGTACCCTTGGATGCGCGCGGCGGGCGCCCGGACGGGCAGGCTCCTGGCCCTAAGGCGCTGGAAGGCGGGCCGGGCAGGGGCTGCTGGCCTGGTGGCGGTGGCGGGGGCACAGTCCCACACCAGCGCTGGTGGCCCTGAGCTGCCAGGAAGGCCGCCTGGCTTCCTGCGCTGCCCGCTGCACATGGGTTTCAGAGCTCTTACAGTTGGCTCCCGTCATGACTGTTTGAGCCCAGTGAGAGCTTGAATCAGCTCTGCGGGGGAGGCTCTGGGTCTCCACGAGGTGCCAGCCGGGGGAAGGGAGTGTGAGGCGGAAAGGCGATGACTGGGCCAGCTGCTCAGCCCTTATAAACTCCTGTTTCTGCCAATCAGTTAGGGGAAATCCAGACAGTAATGTGGCTAATATTTCCTGCCTGGCCGCCTTAGGAGAGGGCCGGGAGCCTGGGCACCAAGGTTGCACCAGGGACCCTGGGGCTGGGGCTGCCAAATTCCACCCAGACAGGGTCTGTGCCTTTCTGTGGTTGGGGAGGGGGTGGCTGCGTGTGAGGTATTCTGGCGTGGCTGAGTTCCAAGTGTTTCTTTTCTTTGTCTATATATGTATGGATAATTACATGGCTGATTTGCTTATCGCTAGGAAAATTAATTTTTCTTTTAAGAAGTGCCAGCTGGGTCATTAAGACAGCTCAGCCTATGGTTAATTCTACCCAGCAGGTATTTATTAAACCCAGCTCTGAGGGTACCAGGAAAGCAAAAGACACAGTCCTACCTGGGTGCTTTAGAGTGAGGATAAGTGGAGATCTACCATTTAGATTCCTGAAATAGAAATAATAATAATAATAATAATAATAATAATAATAGGAATGACGGCACTAGCAAGCATTTATCGCACACTTTTGCTATGCCAGGAACTGTGCTGAATTCTTTACATGTGTTATATCACTTTGTCTTCATGCTGGCCCAGTGAGGGTTACTAGCCTGTTTTACAGGTGGGAACAAACCGAGGCTCAGAGAGGTTAAATGACTTGCGGTGCCCACACAGTGAGAGGATTGGTGCTTCTGTAAACCCAGCTGCATTAGCTTGTGCTTGGTCAGAATATGTTAGACTGTATGTATGGCATGGGTAAAATAAAGAAGAATTTCGGGGAAGGAAGGGTTGCGGTGGACCAAAGGCCTTAGCAGAGGCGGAGGCTTGGAGATCCAAAGAGCCCTTGAAAGTCAGAAGCACTTGGGGTGGGAGAGAAGAGGGAAGCTTGAGTGCAGGGAGAGCCCTGGGCCTGGCCTCGGAGACGAGGGGCCTCTGGGGAAGTTTATTTGTATGTTACCTTCCCTTGACGTCTTCTGCTCTGTTTCTGAGGATTCTGACTCTAGAGTCTTGCCAACCTGTCTGCCTGATTCTTTTGAAGGACCCCCTCCCCAAATATTTGGCTCTGTCCTGACCCTTGAGGTTCTCCCAGAGACCAGCAGGCTCCCTCCTGCCCCGCGTTTCCGTAGTCCCTTTGGGCAACATCATTTGGAAGAAATGCAAAAAAGTGCCAGTGGCAAGAACTGCCTGGACCCTGGCTTTCATGTGCTTGGAAAAGTGTTTGGAAGGAACTAAGACTTGGGAAGGAGAGAGACATGGCTTCCCAGTGGGCTGGGTTGGGCAGGCAGAGAGTGGAAGGAGAAAGAGGAGGGGGGAGGGGAAGGCACTCTTGTTGCCCCATTCCAAGGGGTGGTGGGCTCCAGGAGACAAAGAGGAAATTTTGGAAAGGGGCAAGGCTTGGGGGAGGAAGAAAGGTCCAATCTCCGAATTGCAAAGCAAAGAGTAGAGAAATAGCTAAATGGAGTGAAACAATATTGGATGCAGAAACCCTGAGCTGGAGAACAGACACCTTGAACTAGGTGTCATATGCGGGAGAAAAAAAGTGGTCCTGGCTGAAGGTCAGGTGGGATGAGCCCTCCTGCACACACATCTCCCTTCCTCCCCGGGGCAGTGGCCCAGAGGTCATTGCTACAGAATGGCGCCCCTGCTGGTGAGAAAGGGGTGTGTCTGAGAGCTCTGGGGTTGGGGCTGGCTTGTGTCCTCTGCTGCCTCTGAGCATTAAAGGCCCCTCTTGGGTGTTGGAGCCTTGGCTGTGTTTTCCCAGGTGAAGGAGCAAGGCAGCAAAGCTCTCTTGCTGCTGAGGTTAGCATCAATTAATTCAGTGACTCCCCAGATACACAGTGGACTCCTACTTCCTGCAAAGACAGGGCGCCAGGTAGGTGTGTTTGAGGCTGACAGTAGGAAAACGTTCTATTTTCTTTCAAATTGTGCCACGCGGGAGGGGATGCTAAGCAGCATGAAATTCTTAGTTTATGACAGCTCCCTTCCATTCATTCAAGAAACATTTTTTGACTCGTCAAAGAGCCAGAGATGGGACTCCAAGGATCATTCAGAAAAACCCCTTCTGTTTCCCTAGGAGGAAATAGCCCCTGAAAGAGAGAGGTACATGACTTTCCCTCTCTCTGACAGTGTTAGGGAAGGACACTCTGCATACTTAGAGTCTCTGTAATATTACCATCATCAATGACTGTCAGGAGTCCCACCTCTACCCTCTGCAGTGGCGGGCAGGGTGTGGTCTACTGGTGTTTCATGCCTTAAATAGTATCTTAAACACTCATCACAGTTGTTTATTTTACTCCACAATATACCCCGTTTGAGTTTAATATAAGAATAATAAGATATATATTTCTTACCATAAAGCAAAGTTAATGCTCAGTGAAGAGTTTCTGTACTGCCTGGGCTTCTGGAGCTTCCTGAACCACTGCTGGATCCCTTAGAGTTAGGAGCACCCCAGTTTTAAAAGCCTGACACTCAGCTATTGCACCATATGCTCTTGGGTAAAGTAGGGTCCTAAGTCCCCAGGAAATACCACTTAATGAGCACCAGCTCTATGTTAGGCATTCAGCGAGGGGGCTAGCATAGGCTACCTTATAGAAGCCTCACAGCAGCGTGTATGCATTTAGCACTGTCTTAACCCCATTTTCTAGACAAAGAAGTTGAGGCTCAGAGAGATCACATAACTTTCCCAATCACACACAGAGAGTTAGTGATGGAGCTGGGGTCCCTCATTGTCTCACATCCCCTGTGTTAGACTCCAATGCCTGAGCTCCTTTGATCCATTACTTTGCCCCTGGGGGACTTTGTAAATTATGTGTGGTTCTCCTTCCCTCCATCCCTATGGCCAGCTAATGTGAAGCCTGGCTGGGGGGTCTCCTCTCTCGCCCGGCAGGCTGTGGACTCCTGGCTGCCCTCCCCTCCCCTGGCCTGGCCTGCCTCTCCTCAGGTGTGGCCACAGCTGTCAAGAGATGCTAACCTAGTTATTTATTACTAAAATAAGTCAGTACCTTATCAGAGTCCAGCTGCCCTTCTAGACATGCTCTCATTTGCAGGCTTGGAAAAAAAGGGAGAGGCTGTGTTCCTTGTCTCAGAGACAAGTTAGGGCAATGCCCTCTGCCTGAAAATGAAGGAAGAGGCCCTGCAGAAGCTCTCCCCTGGACCCCGAGAGCATTAAATGCACTGACCCTGAAAGCCCCCTCTTCACGTGCTCATTGGAAACCCTCAGCGTTTAGCAGGTTGTGTGAGCCTCAGTGAGGGATGGTCTTGAGGACCCAGGATGACACAGTTCTCTATGAAAGTCAAGGACCTCGAACTGAAAGCCAGTGTGGAGCCCCAGGCGACACATGAACAGCCAAGTGAGCTTTCAGGTCAGCCTGCATGTCAGATGGCTCCAGGCTGGGGGCCCCTGACAGAGCGGAGGTGGCAGGAGGTAGCTGGGCCTCCACGGCAGTCTGTCCCGGCTGGGGCTGGGCTGGGGCGGGGCTGGGCTGGGGCTAAGATAGGGGCTGACTTTGTGTTTCCGCAGCGCCTCCGGTTTAGCTGATTCCGCCCAGTGCCTAAAAGGGAAGTGGCTCTTGTGAGAGAAGGAGCGGAGCAGGTGGCAGATGCCGCCAGACAAAGCACAGTCCTCAAAGGGGATCTTTTCTGCCTCAGAGAAATTCTGGGGGTTTGCACAGCCAGAAACTGATGACTCAATCTCCTTTGTGTTGCTGCTTGAATGGGAAGCACACAAACGTTCTTTAGAATCACCAGAGAGGCAACTTCTGCCTACCTTACACTTAAACCCCACTTTTCACTCACTTAGGAAGCTGACATTTTTCTTAAATGCAAGCTCCCCATGAGGTGGCCTGCAAGGGTGTGGGAAGCCAGCCCCATTTTCCAGGTAAGGAAGGGGTGCTTTCTAAAGTTTGTGCTTGTGGATCGGGCCTGACGTGGACACAGTGACTCTGCGCGCCAGACTTTCCAGGAGACGGGATTTCAAATATGCAAATGCTCCACCAGTTGACACATGGTCTATACTTTGACTAAATGTTTATATATTTTCTACAAATAAATGCATGGGTTAGTGTGATTAGAAGTCAAAAACTTTGCAAGACTTTTTGCATAAATAAATTCACACCTCTGCAACTCCTTAATCAGTCTAGCATCTGATGAAGTTGCTGTTTGCTTCAAAAATGTGTACTTTGGAGAGAAAGATTAGTATTCTTCTGTTCTCCATTTCTTGATCATTCCAACTTATGAAGTACCAGGAAATGCTGGCTAGAGGTGGACGCACACACGTGGGTGTTCCCGTAAGTCTATACGCGTCTGAACACATATAATGTGGATATTGCTGGTCAACCGTTAAGCATTTATAAGGTGTCCT